TTGAATAAAAATGGTTTGGTTCTGGTACCTCGCGATCGCCCGGCCAGTGATATTTTTTCATTAAAAAATAAAATTGTGTTAAATTAAAAATGCAAAAATTAGTTTTATTATTTTAATTTAATTTACTTTAACAAATGTACATGTAAACAAAAAGTTATTTTATTTAGTCTATATTTTTTTGTTTTTTCAATAATAATAAAGTTTTTTGTCTTTTTTCATTGATAAACCAAACTAATATTTTGATTAAATAATTGAATTTTATTATCAATGATTTTTCGTCGTTTAATCTTTTGTAGTTTGTATCGGTTACATTATGTAACTGTAACTGTTTTGCACTTTAGGTAAAAGTTTAAGAAAAAGTACTATTTGGGCAGACAATTTCACAACGTTAAAATACCACCACACGCCTATTTGTAAATATATATAAGAAAATCGTTATTTCAAAAAATAATCATTGTGTAAACACATTTTTTGAATTTTGTTTAAAACAAATTAAAAAATGAGTAAATCAACGACTAATGTTATTTCAAAAAGTGTTGAAAAGATTTCTTTAGATGATCTATCAACAAATGGCGATGGCATTATTGATATGTTCAGCAAACTTAAAGATGAAGAAATCATTCGCGGAACCAAACCTGAAGGACTGGAGAAAAAATGCTTGCAATTGTGCCAGTCGTTTATTGGCGGAAGTTGGCTACAAACCACTGAGACAGGCAACATTATTGTTACTCGAATCACAGGTGGTTTGACCAACCAGTTGTACCGTGTTCAACTAAAAGATACCGTTAACCGTGTACTAAATTCAATTTATCCAATTGAACCAACCGAAGTTGCAATTAAATTTTACATGCCAAAACACATGAAGAGCTACAATGAAGAAGATGGCGAACGACTGAATGACATAATCATTCTCACCATTCTTTCACAGGTCGGCATTGGTCCCAAGGTATACGGAATTTTCAGTGAAGGTGTCATTCAAGAGTTTGTTGACGTAAGTTTTCAGTTGTGTTTATAACTCAAACTAATTTTTTTTGTTTAAACTTTTAGCATGATCAATTTACTGTCAAGTATCAGAAAAGACCTGAAAAACTACGCGAAGTGGTATCTGGCATTGCCCGTGTTCACCACCTGAACGTGCCCATTCGCAAGACAAACAACTGGATGCTTGATGAAACAATTGCAGGTCTTAAGGTGGCGTACAGTGAGTGCAACGCTCAGGCGCTAATTGATGAAGTTGGTGCGGCAAACATTCAAAACAATGACCCTCGAATTGAGTATGAAAAAATGGTAAAATACGTTGAAAACCTAAAAGCTCCAATTGTGTTTTGTCATAACGATTTTCGCGGTTCAAACATTCTTGTTCGAAAATCAGATGAAAAGGTGCTGTTTGTTGATTTAGAGTACTCAGCCTTTGGCCCTCGTGGAAGTGATCTTGCAACCTACATCAACGAATGGGGATTTGAACCGTTTGAGTTTGAAAAACAGGGTTTGCCAGATGATGATGTTCTTGAAATGTTTGCTCAAATGTACATTGATGAATGCAACAAAATTGTGCCTGGTTACGCTGACAGACCAGAGAACACAGTAGTCGCATTGGTGAAAGAAATCAAAGTACTGAACATGCTGCTTTATCTGTTTTTCTTGTCTTTTATGATGAAGTCTAAAGACAACTTAGTAGATGCCATACCATTCGACCCTAAAGCAAACATGGTAACAAACTATTCTTTATCACTTAAAATATTAAATTTTTTATTTTTAGAAATTTAGCGATTACATTTACAAACGATATCTGGATACAAAACAACGTTGCATTGCGGATGGCATTATAGTAGACTAAATACTATGTTTAAAAAGTTTAACAAATTTAAAATATAAATGCTTGATGTTTTACAAACAATGTTCGATTGTATTAAATAGTGCCATCTTTTATAAACTGTTGTTTAACAGCCATGTACATCTTAAACATGTTTTCCACTGATACCTAAAATGACAAAAAGTACATTAAAATAAACAATGTTTAACATTTTTAAACTTGCCATCTTTTTCTTTGCATCAAACTTAATTGCTGGAATGATTGATTCAGTTGTTTTAACCATAACTGCTAAGAAAAACATAAAGTTTGCCAAAATCATAATTTTTGTTTCTTTGATGTGAACTTTGAGGCTGTTATTGTTATCTGACGAGTAGCCTGGAATCAAAATGTCACATTGCTCAATGTACAATTTTAAAAAAACTGTTAATTCATCATCAGTTGGTATTTCAGAGCTAATTTGAAACATTTCAGTTTTGTTCCACTCTGTAAGAAAAGTAGCCAAATCATAGGCTCGACTACCATAACCACAGTACTCTAAATCGCAAGTGAGCACTTTATCTTCTGGTTCAACTACAAGTATGTTTGATCCACGAAAATCGTTGTGACAAAAAACAACAGGACTTTTTAGACTATCAATCAAAGTGATCAAATAATCAAATTCTTCTCTAAGATCATGTGATTTAAAAGTTTCAAGATTAAGCTCGTTGACAAGTTCTTCAACTTGACATTCTTTATAAGCAAAATGAATCATGTTGCGCATTTCATCAAAAAGCAAATTACTTTTTTTGTTTATAGGAACGTTAAGATGATGAATTTTGGCAATTACTTGAGCTAAATCTTTTAACAACTTAGGAGTTTGTTGATGCTTTGCTCGAAATTGTTCATGCTAAAAATAAAAATTTTTGTTAATAAAAGTTTAGTTTTTCATTTTATTTACTTTATAAAATTTTTGTATAAATCCGTTTTCTAAAATTCCATAAATTTTAGGACCTAATCCAGTTTGGCTCATTATTGTCAATATAATCATGTCGTTTAACCTCTCAGTGTTTTCTTTTGAATAATTTTTAATATGTTTTTCTAAATAAAACTTGATAGCAATATCTGAGGGCTCATCTGGATAGACATAATTGTTAACTTTTGGAACAGAATCGCTTAATTGAACATGATAAAGTTGATTTGTGAATCCTCCTGAAATTCGCTTAACAATAATGTCAGAAGTTGTTTTAGCATTTTCCCAACTGCCTCCAATATAACAACTTGCTAGTTTTAAACAACGTTCTTCAATGTTATTAAGTTTTATTCCACGAACCATATCATCAGGTTTTAAATTTTTCCAATCTTCTTCTTCTTTTTTGTTCAATGCATCAATTTTTTTGTTTTGTTTGCTTTCCATTTTAAAGTTTAAAGTTTTGTTTATTAATAAATAGCAGTAAATAAAATTTAATAAAGAGATGGTTGTTAAAGTTGTTTATAAAAATATTCAAAAATAATATTTAAAAATGTTTACTCTAAATAAAATTTATAGTTTTTTGTATTACAAATTGTATACTAATTAGAATCAATGTTATCACTGACTTGTGTGCATTTTTTGTGACATTGAAACTTGATTTGTCAATTGATAATTAATTGACACACTTTTTAGGCAGATTATTATTGATGCTGTTGCGCTAAGTCTGCTTGATTGCTTGCTTAGACGTCAATTTTCCACATTTTTTAGTTTATGACCATATTAAGCTAGTCAATTACAATGGGGCGGGAACGACTTTGTCATTTTACTAATACTGCAACATAAAAGTGCAAAAAAATGTAAGTACAAAATAATGTTATTTAATATTAAAAGTTAACTTTTGTAGTCATTATCTATTTAGTTTAACCCAAACCATTGTTTAAAATTTTTTAAAAAACAAAAAATAATTGAAAATGGATAATTCAAAAACAATGTTTGAAAAAATTGCAAAAGACTGGACAAAAATCAGTCAAGATGAACTCGTTCGTGGTCTAACGCCTGATAATATTGAAAAACGTTGTTTGGAACTGTGTCAAACGTACATTGGCGGAAGTTGGGTAAACGCAAAAACATTAGACGAAATAAGTGTAAAACGAATTTCAGGTGGTTTCACTAACCAATTGTATCACGTTCAACTTGGCAAATCAGTAGTTCGAGTGCACAATGACGTTTATCCAAATGAGCCTTCAGACGTGGCTATCAAGTTTTATCAAGAAAAACACATGAAAAACTACAATTCTGATGATGACGAGCGTTTTAACGATATGATTATTCTTACCATAATGAGCCAAAAAGAACTGGGTCCAATTGTGTATGGCATTTTTTCAGATGGATTCATTCAAGGGTACTATGAACATGAGCAATTTAGAGCAAAACATCAGGAAAACCCCAATTTGTGCCAGAAAGTCATTCGTTTGCTTGCTCAAATTAATCATTTAAACGTTCCAATACGAAAAGACAGTAACCTGCTTTTTACCGATATGAAAGGCATGATAGAGTTTGCTTACAAACACTGCAAAGTGAATGAACTTGCTGAAAAGCTTGATTTGAAAAACCTTAAACAAGTTAACGTGTTAGCTGAGTACCAGTCAGTGATGAGCCAGATTTCTGCACTAAATGCTCCCATAGTTTTTTGTCACAATGATTTTCGTGGTTCTAATCTTTTGGTGACAAAAAATGAAAATATTTTAGCTTGCGATTTAGAATACTGCGGTTACGGTACACGAGGCTTTGATCTTGCATGCATTATTAAAGAATGGGGGAAAAAAGATTTGTTTCATAATCCCAATGAAAACTTAAAAGATGATGTAATTGAAAAACTGGTTAAATTATACATTGAAGAAATTGACAAGCTTGTTCCAGGTTATTCAAAACAACCGGAAAACAGTTTTGTCAAACATTTAAATGAAATTCGATTGATGTTATTAGCAAATAATTTGTTTTTTATTTCTTTGATGATGAAACAACAAAGTTCAATAGTTTCTTCAATTCCATTTGATCCAAAAATACAAATGGTATGTATTGGTACAAGTTTGACGTAAACAACTAAAAATTTTTTTAATTTTAGCAATTTGTGGATTTGGTTTTAAAAAACTACATCGATACTAAAAATTCTTTTATTGAAAAAGGGTTTTTGCCCAAGTTTTAAATAAAAAATTTAAATGGTCATTTGTAATAAAACAAGTTTAAACAAAAAGTAAAATAAAACGGTTTTTAAAATTTTTTGTTGATGGTCTTTTAATATCTTTTAATATAACTGTTATTGAACTAACAAGTTGCCATCTAGTGAACAAAAAAACTAATTTTTATTAGAACTACAAAATGTCCGAAAAGAAATCATGTTGCATTTTTAAATTAAACTGATATAATTATTAAATAATTTATTGTGTTTAACTTATAAAGAACTAAAATTATCAATCAAAAAGTTTTCAAAATGACATTAACTTTTACTGTTTTATAACAAGGACATTATGGACAAACTTTGAAGATAAACTTTAGTTTATCTTTATACGGCAAACAATGAGTCAATCAATGCACAATAAACTCTAATGAATATGTTTTGTTACTTGCAAAAGTTTATTTTAAGGTTTTTACTTATTAACATTTGTGTATAATACTTGATTTGAAACAATGTTATTTTTAGAAAATTGACACTTGATGTAATTTGACACTGTAAAAGTTAAAGAAAAAACGCAATAAAAAGCTGATTCAAACTGTAACAATTATACAATTGCAAAGCGTTATTTCTCATCATCTCCAAATATGAAAGCAATTTATTTTGTGAACAGTGTTTTTATTATTTTAAGCTTGACTTTAGTGACTCAAGCTCAAAACAAAGAAAATGATTTTTTGCTTTTACAGGTTCTACACCGCCATGGTGATCGCACTCCGGTGGTTCTTTACAAAAACGATCACTACACTAAAGCTGACTTTAAAGAAGGACTAGGTCAAATGACTGCCGTGGGAAAACAAAGATTGTTCCAATTTGGCAAAAACTTGAAATCTCGTTACCCTTTATACTTCGGTAAATTAAAAATCAATTTATTTTACTATTCACTTTTGTTATTTTTTTAACAGCTAACGTTTTACCTAAAAACGTGCGTGCTCAAAGCTCACCGAGTCGTCGTTGTCTCGAGTCAAGCCTTCTGGTTCTTGCCGGATTGTTTCCCCCGAGTCAATCTTGGTCAAACAACTCTCAACTTGCTCAGTTGTGGCAACCTATAGCCGTTGAAACAACCGAAAAACCCCGAGCATGGCTTTTAAACAGTGAGGCATACTGTCCAGCTGCCACCAATTTTGAAGGCAATATCACTGAAATACCATCCGTTAAAAAGTTTCTCAGCAATCATCGTGAGTTTATAAACAAACTAGAAAAGTATACTGGTGAAAATTTAACATCTTGGTATGACGTTGGCTACATTTGGGACACTTTGTTTGCTGAAAAAGAGTATTTTGGAAACAATTTTGTCAAACCAAAATGGCTTGAGTTAGTTGGCAATGACACATGGGAGCGACTGTATCAATTTAATGAAATGGAAATTGGAGTTTTTGATTTATCACTACCTTACCAACGTCTTCGAACTGGTCTTTTTCTTAAACAAATTCTTTTGAACATGAACAAAACTGTGTCACAAACTACCATTACAAAAGAAAACCGCCAGTTTTATACATATTCTTCCCATGATACTTTTATATCTTATGTTTTGCAAGCTTTTGGATTTTTTCATCGTAAGTAATTTGAAACAAAAATTTAAATATTATTTAACATTTTTTGTTTTTTAGAATCTCCGTCATATGGCAGTGGATTGATTTTTGAACTTCGAAAAGACTCAAACAACGTTCCAAATGTGCATCTTTTTTATTCAAATGCAACAAACAACTTTGACATGTATCCATTAATGTTGAATACGTCAAAAACGTTTAGAAAACATTGTCAATTTGCTATTTGTTCATTGACCAATTTTACAATTTCTCTTCAGGCATTTCTATTTGATGACATTGAAAAAGAATGCGCTAA